CTCTCTCTCTGTGTGTGTGTGTGTGTGTGTGTGTGTGTGTGTGTGTGTGTGTGTGTGAGGCATGCGCTCCGAGTTGCTTTCAGGTGCGTTCCAATCGAATGGCGGCCTACCTCTCTGGAGCGCCTTCAAATAGCGGGCGGCCGGTGCTGCAGGTGGCAATTCTCAGACTGCCCCAAGCCGCCAACGGTCTACAAAGTGTGCTGTGAGGCCGAGTAGCACTGAGTACAAAAAGCAAAAATGGGGCCGGTCCGGGCGCCCTAAACGACCAGTACAGGCCCCAAAATTCCACCTGACATTGTTTTGGGGGCGCCCTGGACCCAAGGAACGGGTCCAGGGCGCCCCCTAGTTTTTTCGAATTTTGGGGTTTCGGACTACCGTCCGGCATCCGGACACCGGACCCCAAACCGTCTGGATGCCCGTCCGGATGTCCGCATGGTAGCCATGAAAATGATGCACGACTCAACTTCAGAGCCATTTCCATTCATCGCAACTCAGGAAAATGCGCTCCCGAATCAGCCGCGGCCTATGACATACACCCCTTCCGGGGGCTGACCAACAAATACTGGACAATCCCTGGCCCCCCACAAAACAGACAGGTGAACAGCCCAAGGCAAGTGGCCAGACTGGACCTGCTCCAAGACCCCCTCTGGGTAACATGCTTAAACTTTGGAGGAAATGTGGTCTGCAGCAGAAACGCCCCCCTAACAACTGGCACGAAATCTGGAGGCAGCCACTCCTGGACAATGAAGGCAAACCCTTCATGCTCACCACAAACTGCCCCTGGCTAACATGGGCAGAAAAAGGGATATTTACTGTGGGGGACGCGTGGGACCCGGTAGCAGCAGACTGGACCACAACAGAGCAACTGCAATGGTGACTGAACCATGCAAAGAATGTGGGAGAGAAGGCGATTAAACTCAGGGAGGCCTTGCCTCTAGCCTGGAGGCTCACCCGCAAGAATGGTCCCACAGTCAAACAAGGGGACTGGGTGGTGAAACACTAACCTTCCCCTCCCGCTCACTGTAGACAAAGTGCAAGCTAACCACGAGGGACAGTGCCTGTTGGAGGCGTACGACCTCCACCTGCCCGGCGCCAGATTTTCGAAATTGGCACGAAATGACAATCTGGATGGTGAGGTAAACTGGGGGGGGCTGATGCAAGTAAGAGTGGTGGGTGATCCCCAAGATGGACTCTTTATATACGAGCCTACAATCCCAGTCGCCAGACTTCCGTTCGACCCGGGGGAGTGGGAGTGTCCGGGTCCCAAGCCGCTACACATATGGGATTACACAGTCAAAGGGGCCTACAAAGCCGTGCGTCCCACCTTGCCAATCGATCAAACAATAGCCCAAAGATGGGCACGAGACTCGCCTATGGAAGCTTGGAGAACCAGATGCTCCCACGAAAGAAGGGACCACCAACTAGGACGGCAGCAAGCTCAACAGGAAATTCAGGAGAAAATTAGGTCCCGTACACACGAGGCATGGAAATCCTTCAAACGGGACTACAACGAAGAAAAGGACCCCGATGCCAAGGCAACCATCAGGGCAACTTAGACCCGCACCGTATCTTCGCCAAGCTAGATGCAGGTCTCAATATCCAATGGAAGCCGTGGAGGATGACGGAACCGTTGTGGCAGAGACAACCCGTTCACTGCTTCCAGGTCCCATACCTACAACCCAACTTCATTATCATACACCCCTCGCCGCCCCACCCTGCTTTGCCACCTCAGACACCCCCCCCTCAGTCACACAGGCGTCCCTCCAACCCCCTGCCCCTTATATTGATCCCAGCTAGCCCTGCCACCCTGACCTGGCAACCCCCTCCCCCCCTCCCCTCCGCCTCTCCTCCCCACAGTGCGGAGGGGGTCCGGCGTTCCGGGAACGCCGGACCCCCTTCGCGCTTCCCTTCGCGCTTCGGGGGAGCGAGGGGTGCGCATGCTTGGTGTTGTGGCCATCGAGGGGATGGGACGGACCCCCTTCCATCCCCCACAGCACAAAGGGGGTCTGGCGTTCCGGGAACGCCGGACCCCCTTCCTGCTATGCCCGTCGTCGGATCGGATCTCGGACCCCCGTCCTCCCTCGCGACACAAAGGGGGTCCCGCGTTCCCGTCCTCCCCCGCCGCACAAAGGGGGTCCGGCGTTCCGGGAACGCCGGACCCCCTTTGTGCTGTGGCCATCAAGGGGAGGGGACGGACCCACTTCTTCTCCCGCACCTCAAAGGGGGTCCGGCGTTCCCGAAATGCCGGACCCCCTTGGTGCTATTGTCAGCGACGGGGAGGGAGGGGCCCCCTTACTCTCTCGCAACACCGACATGGGTCCAGCGTTCCGAGAACGCCGGACCCCGCTCGGTGCTTCTAGAGGTAGGGGGAGGGAAGGACATGAAACGCCGCGGGGTTTCGTCGAAGAGGCGGGCGAGGGAAGGGTTCGGCCGACCACCGTGCCGACAGGCACGCTGGTGGGGTCTGCTATTTTGGGGACGCCGGACCCGCACACACAACGGTAGTGGGGTACGGTGTTCTACGAATGCCAAACCCGCTGCGTGGGGCGGTAGCGAAACTCCTGTGCTGCGACGGATGCATCTTCATATCACTTAGTGTTGTTTTATTGTTGTCTTTTTTTGTGCGACCCTTCAGGAAAAACAGCGTCTACGTCCGCCCCCGAAAAATGGTAAGGCAGGTCTAAGCTCTACCACGACAAACCATGGGCTCTTGATTGGGTAGGTGGCCTTCATATGCCGGGTTGCGGAGCCGTTGTCTTTTTGAGCGATGACAATGACCTGAGTTGGTACTGCTGCGGAGGGGTGGAGAAATCGGAAGCGGGGAGGTTTACCTACGACGGCAGGAAGTTCAGGACCTTCTTCCTTACATCTGTCTATGACAGAGAGGGCCAAGGAAGATAATAAGGTGTCTCTTGACCATCGGCTCTTCGGATACGGGGTCAAGGCTTTGTCGATGAAATCGTTTGACGTGCGCGGGAACGAAACTGAGTTCCAAATGCTGGATTCGGAAAAGTTTCTTTCCAAAACCAATGGCTACCGCGTGATTGGTTCCTTGCCTGTCCCCGACAGCGCTTTCATGCTCAGCAGACCTTTGGTCCAATTCAACAGTCTGGCGGATCAACTCGCAGCTTTCGTTATGCGATACCGGGAAGAGTTCGCGAGGCTGCCTGCTGCCCAGCAAGTTGACCGTGTTTTCGTGCCGATTGACGCTTGTCTTCATCGGCTGCGGGGCTCAAACGGCGCCAAGATCAGCCGGCCAGAGCGGGTGGAAAGAGGAAGCAATTGTCGATTGCCCCGTTTTCGTCGGCTGCGGTTGTCCAGGCTCTGCCCGCTCCGGTTCTGCCCTCGGATCGGCAAGGTCGCGATGCGGCCGAGCTGTCCAGCGAGGCCACAGACTACGACGACGGAGCTGTGCGCTATCGGGCTGGTCCCCAGCATCGTTCACGGGGAGGTGCAGGTGCCTTGATGACGAGGAATGTGAGGGCCAAGATGGGGAGGGCGGTGGTTGGGATGGGGAGGGCGGTGGTGAGGAGGGGGAGGGCGGTGGTGAGGAGGAGGAGGGCGGTGGTGAGGGGGACGATGGTAAAGAAGGAGATGTTGAAGGTAAGGACGATGGCATGGACGAGGAGAGAGACGATGTTGGTGAGGAAGTCGAAGACAATCGCTCCTCCCAATTTCACCGTCGCCACCACAACGAATCGCAGGGGCGCCGTGAGGACGATGCCTACCGCGTCGGTGACGCAATCGATGCTGGTGGCCAGCCTGCAGCCTCCCACGGAATGTCGCAGTCCTATGACCAGACGAAGGATAGGAGAGACGAACCTGGCTCACGGGGAAAGCGAAAGAGGGGAAAGGCGTCGATCTCTCCTGCGAGTCGAACAAAACTGGCACGGGACGACGTCGTCAATGAAGCTTGCGGAGCGTTGACGGCATCACAGGAAGCGCGGGCTCCTAAGAAAACTACTGGGGGGGGGGCGAAGTGGCAGCCGCGGGGGCGGTCGCGGCGGCGGTAGGAAAGGCTCGCAGAGGTCCAGGGCACCTGAGCTGCGGGACTCGGGGGATGAGGGCGAGGGGGTGGGGCCTCGCATGCCCGAAGACATTGAAGAGCTGGTTCAGCACGCCGCGCCCGTGGACACGACACGATGTTTCTTCCTCGAATACGACGAACAGGGCTTCGCCAGGCAAGACGTCCAAGTTGTTAACGTCGACGTTAATAAGATCAAACCCATTCCTCGTGGGAAGATCCTATTTAACCACCGTTCGTTGTATGAGAACATTGTGAGAGGCATCGAGAGTGTCATAGAAAGTTCCATTAGTGCTGACCCAGGGGTGTGGGATAGACCTGAGCTCGTTCTTGTGCCGGTTGACCCCAACGTCATCGTCGGGGGGCAGGGAAGGCGAATCACACCGGACGAGTTCTTTTAAAGAGATTCTGCAGAGTTCGACTGGTACGCTGTCTGCGGTCAACATACTGCCGAGGCCATGAAACGGTTGGTTGGAAAGGACTCCCCCACGGTCAAAGTCTACGGTCTCCGCACGTACTCTAAAGTGCGAGTCGTCTTTTTCGATGATGACCACACACGCGGGTACTTCAATATCTCTGTCTTCGACAACACACGGGAGAATCGCGCCATGATGTTATCCCGTTCACGCTGTGCGTAATATGCGGCAATGGTGGATCGACAACAACAGGATCGAGGCACCCAAAACTAAGGTCAGCGAGAAGGATGTCGTCGCCGTTCTGCATCAGAAAACGTGGCAGAACTTCATGAGGCCTTGCATGGGGAAGGTGTGCGACAAGGCGTTCGTGAAACAGACACTCGACAACGAATACAACAAGGATTGGAGTAACAAACTTCGGGGGTACCTGAACCTCGCCACATCCACCCGCACGGTTTGGCCGCTGGTGGAGAAGTTCTTCGCGATGTTCGACGAGGGTAAGCTGCCAATCGACAACGGCAAGATCCTACTTGAGATGCCGGGGAGGATGGAGGGGCGCCTGCCCGGCCCGAACACTGACGAGAACAAGGGACAACGGACTTTGTACCACTGCATATATGTGCGAGATGGTCCCAAGGGATCCACCGTGTCCTGGAAGGATTTGTGTCCTACGTACTTCAAGAACTTCGGGGACATGACATGCCGCGCGAGAGAAGTCGCGCTATTCCTGCTTATGTCGGGGAAAGTGGTGGCAACAAAAGTGAGAGTCACGCCTCCGAGGGTGAATACAGAGTACCTCCTCAACATTATGCGCAAGGAGAGATACATGGTCCGCATGTTCAACTACGGCGTGTTTCGCGCCGAGGGAAGGGCAGGGGACGAATGGAACGACGACTTCTTCATGTCGTACAAGGACCTGGAAGAGAGGTATGCTTCAAACGGGTTATGCGCAGATGAATGGGAGAAGCAACGGGAGAAGCTGCATAGCAACTTAGTGAAGACGATCCCTCAGCGACTTGGAGGAGTGGAGGAGGCGAGGCAAGGTGCGGGCTTGGGGCCTACAGAAGTGATGTACAAAGAGGCTCCGTTTCACTTCAAGGTCTTTATATACACCACGATCGATAAGCTCGATATGCTTCGAGCGGAGGTGAAACGGATCGCCTCCAGTGCACGCCATCTTGTGTGGGACAAACTCAGCACGCACACCACATTGCTTTCTGTATGCATGCGGTCAAACGAGGTTATGGCGGCGCCCGTCGACATCGTCGCAGCCGCACAAAAAATGGCATGCAGGGCTGCCATCGTGGACATCTCGGCCGCGAATTTCAGTAGTGCATAGACCTCACAGGACTTCGATGCACTGTATGCAATAATGATGAAGTGTTGTGGTCCAAATTGGGTCCTCTTCTTCTTTGCACCGCAGAATGTGCAACGCGATGTCTTGCGTCAATTGTACCGTTGGGAGGACATCGAGCTCATCCCCGGGTCATGGAAACGGGTGGACAGGCCGCCGAGCAACGTTACAAGGTACGACAACATCGCTACGAGCAGTCGGGACCTGATGGCGATCGTGCTGCATGCTGAAGGAGGGGATCTGAAAAAAGTAACTGTCGCACCCCGACTTCACAACGATCTCACCGAAGTGCATGTTGTGGAGGAAAAGTTCGGGAAGTGTCTCGGAAAACACGGTGGCGTCGAGGGCGACGAAAGTGCCGCATATTCAATTTGGGAGCGAGAACCTGGCAAGTTGCGAAAGTTGTGCGGTTCATTCGTAGGAGAGGCGGAAGGTGTGCTTTTGCTGGGTAGGGCGCACGCGGGTCGTGTATGGAAGTTATTGCTTGCAGTTAAATGTCATTGCCTGTGACGAGTCGGCCAAGGACATTGCATACTTGACAAAGTTTGTCGACATACTTGTTAAGGATGGGAGATTCGAGTGCCGCCTCGAGAAGCCGCGTGTCACACATCGCACGAACAGAGATATGAAGGTGTGAGAATACCTGTTCCGCGATGCGCCGGATGGACGCCTTGATGGGGGATACATATATAGGAAAGCCAAGGTGACCGTGACCCTCAAACATTATCACGGTGCTCTAACTGGCGCCTTCGAGACATTCGTTGCTCAATGCGAGATCTTGAGGTTTGATCTTCACAAAGATAAACTGACGTTTAAGGACTATGCAAACCTCGCTAAATAGGGTGAAGGCTTTAACCCCGTTGACAACGAGGAAGACTCGTCGGACTCCGACCTCGAGATCGAAAAGGACACCAATGCAACCGGGTGGTACGGGAAGTCCGCTGCCATGGAGCACAGCGTCAAGGGATATGGAACGGGTCAATCAGAGGGATGCTCGAACCTGCCACCAGCGAACAGTGTGGCCTCGGGTGTGGACCGGGTTGTATGTACGCCTGTGGAAGACGACGAAGACGATGACCTTGATATTCCTGCTCAGCCAACGAAGCTAGCGCCAAGCGATCCGATTCCTCCCAGATTTTGTGCGTATGCAAACAATGTGTATTTCGTGGATGACAAATACGCCTGCACTAGTGAGGACAAGTGCGGCCATGATATCATTTGGCATGACGGCATTTTCGAGCCATGTATCCGAGGCGGGGAGTGGAAAGTGGCGGTGAAGTATGTCTTGAAGGGTTGGAGACCGTTTCCCCGCATGGGAAAGGACAACTGGCTGAAGACGATGGACCAATCAATACTATACCGTTGTCGGAAAGAGAACCCTGGGGAGAGTGAAACATCCATCGCGGCAAAGGCGAAACAATTGTTCGACGCCTTGGGAGCCACTCGACAGTTAGAGTACTCACACAAGTTTTACGAGTTGCAGTCGCGCCCCTCGTACGGCAAGATTGACTGGAAGGTTGAGCACGCGGCCTCGCTCGAGAGCATGGACGTGGACTCCCGAGAAGATGCCGCCCCTGTGCTCGAGGCGGCCACAGGGAGCACGATGGGTGAACAAAGGGAAGATGGCGGGACGACGTTTGGCGTGAAGCCTCCGTTGCCAGAGGCGGGGAACACGCCCGCAGACAAAAACACCATCCGATCCATCTCTGTCGCAACGGGGGATACATCACAAGGTGAAAAAGTGTCACTCGACAAGCCGGCGGATGCGGGCGCCACATACGGGAGTCTCCTCACGACATGTGCGGCGCTGGCAGGCACATTGGAGATGGTGTCAGAGTCCACTACTGGGATGGGCGTCACAGGGATGTCGTTGCATCCGCCCACATGCACTAGCAAAGGTGACGCACACTGTGCAACAACACTACAGGAAGGGGTCACAAGAGATGATGGGAATGGGGGAAATGCAGGGGGGTCTCTACGTTCTCGCAATATTGAGGACATGACGACGGACGATGAGGATGGGGTAGAAGGAGGAAAGGGCGTGAGCGATCCCACGCGTGCAGAAAATGAGGGGTAAGACAGGGAATGAACTTGAGGGGAATCCTCTTCGCGGGGAAATTTGATGTTTTCGTGTGTTCTCATTTGTTTGAAATCATGGTTTGTGGGCGGAATTTGTTCTTGTGTGCAATCGACCTGCAGACTCATTAGTGTTCAATTTTCGGAATTTGACCTTTTAATTGTTGACTAAAAAATTGTGGGGTGAACAATAGTATGTCGTAGTATGCGTGTGTGTCTCTCTATATTCGTCAATATGTTGCATTGTGTATATGCATGTATGTCGTTGGGGTACAGTGATGAAAGGGGGCAGGAGTCAGGATTGATTGGTCCCGAAGTGTTGTCCTTCATCTAAGTGTAAGTTTAGCGAAACATTGATGACGTATCTTGAATACATCATTTCCGTTTAGCATATTATGCTAAGGCACTTGCCCATGTACAAGTATCTCAAATGGTCACGCTCCCCGTTTTTTACACCGCCTGCCCACCAGTTTCTAACTTTCCTGTAAGGGCGACCATTTTTTACACCCCTGTTCACCTCGATCACCGTTGTTTACACCGCCGTCGATGTCGTATTCCTCGTGTTTGTCGTGTGCAATGCAAATTACAACAACGGATACAAGAAAGTGCAAAAGAGGGTGGACAATGCGCCTCGCAACATCGTCTTTATCAGAGAAGGAGATGAAAGCACTCTCACATGTAATCGGGAGTACAGGAAAAGGTTCCCAATAGCGAGCACACACAATCATCGGACGAACGAAGTACTGAAGCGAACTCGAGACAAATTTATTTTACTAGTCGACGAGCGGAACTGGTTAAATGACAACGTCGTCAACTTCTACCTGAACCTCATCGCACTAGACAACTGGTGTAGAATCACACACGTAGAATGCGACACCGGGAATGAAACCGTGATTAGAATCGGAAAGGGTCGCATTCCTATAATATCTGTGTTGAGCTTGTTTTTCTTCGCCAGACTTTTCGACAGCGAAATGAGATATCAAGAGCGAGAGATGCACCACTGGTCGAATGACATTATAATAAGTGACATGGACTTGATAATTGCCCCTTTCCATATCGCACACACGAACCACTGGACCCTCGTTGTGGCTGACTTCAGGAGGAGGAAATTTGAATTTTACGACTCCCTCAGCCCCGACAAAGAACTGACAACCAAAGTGACCGACGGATTTGCAAAGTTTTTGTTTAAAAGATCGATTCAGCAAGGCAAAGAGGTGGACACGAAACCGTTTAATCACATGTGGACCGTAGAGGGCGTCCCGAAACAACATAACACTAGCTCGTGTGAGGTCTTCATGCTCGCATACACATCGCTATTGGCTAGGGATCACCTTCCGTATTTCTCTTTTACCGCTGATGACATACCCGCAATACGTCGTCGAATGTCTTTGGACACAGTGGCTCACGAGTAGTATGAACCTGCTGTTGGATATTGTGATTACATGCGGATGGATGTGGGTAACATTAAATTGTTTGTCAAGGAAACAGTGTATAGAAGATGACAACCATTGCTCCAAGTTCCTGCCCCTTACCCCTTGTCTTTCACCCCTTATCCCTTACCCCCAAACCCCTTACCCCTTGCCCCTTACCCTTGCATGTATACCCATACCCCAAATTCAAATGCATTTTTTACCCTAAATCACTACGGAAATGACAATTTAAATTTCGTTCAAAAAATATAAAATGTCCGTTTTGACGAAATCGCTGTTCTCTCATCATAACCTTCTCGGAATGTACTGTGAGCATGACCTTTTTCGAGTATGTTATTCAAAAAAATCTCTCTCTCTCTCTCTCTCTCTCTCTCTCTCTCTCTCTCTCTCTCTCTCTCTCTCTCTCTCTCTCTCTCTCTCTCTC